AGCAAAAGAAAAAGAAAGAAGAAAGAGGGAAAGAGAAAGAAAGAAGGAGAGAGAAAGAAAGAAAGAAAGCAAAAAACTTGAGATTCGAATAAATGCTGATGCCCAAAGAAGAATTAACTTTGCAAGTTTCTTGGGGATGGGGCCAACCATGAGTCATTTTCAGAGGTTGGTCCAGTGAGCATCAAATGCCCACTAGCTTTCCTGGATATCTGGGGGCCGTCACAGAGAGTGAGAGGCCTGAGCTCACGATGGTTTTACACAAGGCTCACTGGGGATTGGGATGTCCGTTTCAGAGCTGCTCCCTGTCCTCCAAAGAGGAAGAGGCATGAACAGAGATGGCTACACCAGTTGCAAGCCCAGTGCAAAAGGAGAAGACGCAATCCTTGTTCCAACATAATGAACAATTTCCAGGTGGGGGCAGCAAAGAGTTAAACCAGTATGGCGCCCTTCTGTGCGCGGCCCATTAATGGCAGTTACAGAGTGCAGACTCATGAAGCCCAGGCGTGTAGATTACGAAGCTATCCACCTCCGTGGCTCGGGTCTCTAGAAATGGAAAGAACATCTTCCGCCTCATCTGGTTCCTGTGGCCAATGGCGTAGATTGAATAGTGTCTCCCAGAAAGATATGAGCAAAGCCTAATCCCTGGTATCCGTGAATGGGATCAGGGATTCACAGGGTCTTGGCAGGTGTCATTGAGTTAAGGGTCTTGAAATGAGATCATCTGGATTATCCAGGTGGGCCAGAAATCCAGTATCAAGTGTCCTTATTAGAAACAGGTAGAGACACAGATGCAGGGAGAGGCCACGTGGAGATGGAGACAGAGACTGCCACGATGCGGCCACAAGTCCAAGGGATGCCTGGAGCCCCAGGGCTGGGAAGGCAGGAAGGATCCTCTCTAGAGCTTCTGGAGGGAACTGGACACAATTGTAGTGGACTGAACTGTGGTCTCGAAAGATCCTGTCTATCTACCGTAACACCCAGAGCCTGGGAATGGAAATCTTGGAAATAGGGATACAATACGGCCGCAGTTGATGTTGAATGTAAGCACCACAATACGGCCACAGTTGATGTCGGTGGGGCGGGTAGTGTAGACAGCGTGGAGGGGCTGGCAAGGTGACGATTCAGGTTCCAGGCAGGATATAGTGGGACAGGACTGTCTGACCTCACTATTGGGAATGATGTGCAATTTAAAACCTACACATTATTTACCTCTGGAATTTCCCATTTAATATTTTTCAGAGCACAGTTGACTTGGGGTAACCAAAACCAGGAAAAGCAAACGTGCAGATAAGGGGGGAATGATCTCAGGTACTTTTGGGTTCACAACAGCATATGACTGTACTGAATTCTGTAGGCAACTATAACAATGGTAAATGTTTGTCTATTTAATCGTATCTAAACATAGAAAAGGCACAGTAAAAATACAGTATGATGGTCTTATGTAATCTTATCTTAAACTTAGGCCATGCTATCTTATGTTATCTTCACACACGGCCTATGCTAATATGCAGTGTGGTAGGCCATTGTTGCATTGCTGTAAAGAAATAGCTGGGGTGGGGTAATTGATGGGGTGGACAACCGTACTCTCCTGTGGTCTAGTGGGCAGGGACCTGGGGGCCACCAGTAGCTGTAGCACTTTTTTACTTCTCTGTTTCCTGGCCTAAATATGTGATGGTTATGCTTCACCTGCAGGTGCTGAAGAGGTTTTTGTTTTTTTTTTTTTTTGGACAGAGTCTCCTACGTCCCCCAGGCTACAGTGCAATGGTGTGATCTCAGCTCCTGCCGCAGCCTCCTGAGTAGCTGGGATTACAGGCACCTGCCACCATGCCTGGTTAATTTTTGTTTTTGTTTTTGTTTTTTGAGACGGAGTCTTGCTCTGGCGCCCAGGCTGGAGTGCAGTGGAGTGATCTGGCCTCACTGCAAGCTTCGCCTCCTGGGTTCACACCATTCTCCTCCCACAGTGTCCCGAGTAGCTGGGACTACAGGCGCCCGCCACCGGGCCCGGCTAATTTTTTGTATTTTTAGTAGAGACGGGTTTTCACCACGTTGGCCAGGCTGGTCTCGAACTCGTGACCTCGTGATCCACCTGCCTCGGCCTCCCAAAGTGCTGGGATTACAGGCTTGAGCCACCGCGCCCAGCCAGTGTAGAAGTTTAAATGAAATAATGTTGGAAATATCCAGGCATAAAATAGGGGCTTCATGGGTAGAAAAAATGCCTTCTTGAAAATGGAAACAATATCTGCATTGATTATTTTCAAGGAGACTGAACCAAAAAATAATAACTCAGCTTGAGGACTGGCCCGTCTCTGTGACAGCCTGTGGTCGTACCTCATCCCTCAGCCCCTGGCACGCGCCGGTAAGCCCAGCGCTTTCGGAGGCCAAAGCAAGAGGATGGCTTGAGTCTGGGAGTTTGTGACCAGCCTGGGCAACATAGTGAGATCATCCCCGTCTCTGCTAAAAATAAACATTAAAAAATGTTTTTATGTTTGCGATAGGGTGTGGTGGTGTGCACCTGTAGATGTAATGAGATCTCCAGCTCTGCTAAAAATAAACATAAAAAAATGTTTTATGTTTTGAGATAGGACGTGGTGGTGTGCACCTAAAACCAGAGAACCCCTTCCAGGGTGGTCCCTCTCCTGAAGGTTAATTTGTAGGTGGACAAATCAGATACTGATACCTGTTCTTGGAATAATCAGGATAATGTTCAGAATTCATTGACTCACTTCAAGCTCCGCCTCCCGGGTTCACACCATTCTCCTGCCTCAGCCTCCCAAGTAGCTGGAATGCTAAATCTTTTACAATAATAATAATAAAATTACAAACTAATAAAAGCAGCATTACACCAAGAAGACAGTATAATCATGAACCTGGAGGTATCTAGTATTCCGGCCCTGAAATATCTAAAGCAGACAGTGACAGAGATGTCCAAAACTCTCTCTAAAAAAGATAGCATAAATACATAATATTTCAGAATGTGATTAAAATTTCAATTTATAGAAACGTAAGTCTATAAAACCTGGTATGCTAGGACTAGAGGATGCATTTTCTTAAATCAACTGTGTGCAAAGTCACAGCGAAAGCCCTCTTCTGAAGTTACCATATGACGAAATCAGAAACATCACGAGGTCAGGAGTTCGAGACCAGCCTGACCAATATGTGAAACCCCATCCCTACTAAAAAAAACAAAAATTAGCTGGGCATGATGGCGCAGGCCTGTAATCCCAGCTACTCAGGAGGCTGAGGCAGGGGAATCGTTTGAACCCAGGAGAAGGAGGTTGCAGTGAGCTGAGATCGTGCCATTGCACTCTAGCCTTAGGGACAGAGCAAGACTCTGCCTCAAAAAAAAAAAAAAAAAAAAGAAAAAAAAAAAAAAAAAAAATAACTCATTTGAATTCTACACCTTTGGAAAAATATTAAAATACCCTCTTCATCCATTGGTCAAATCAGGAAAATGAAAACAACGACTTTATTCTAAGTCTATGAAATGCAGCTCAAGGGGTCAGGACAAAAATGAGTTCACAATAAATCTGTTATGATTAGAAGGAAGAAAACAAACAAATAAACAAAAGATGGCATGTGTCCAGGCAAAAGACATCGGACAACATATTCCAGAATGAACGCAAATAATTATAAGGGGGTAAAAATCACTAAAAGTGATAAGCGATGAACACAATGATTAGTAAAATGTCTATTCCTGAAACCCAGAAAGTGCTTCCCAAAGACAGCTTCAGAGGCCAGAATTCCAAAGCTTTTTTCTACGTACAGATATTCTCCCCATGCCTGGATTCTCCCCATGCCTGGATTCTGGCCCCCAAACTGCAGAAAACATAACCTCGACTGAGTTTTCTGCTTCAATGACAAATGACACCAGAGCCCCACCACCAAGCCATGGCTGGCATTTGTTTAGTTCTGAGCATTGTGTGACAGAATGCATCAGTCTTGCTTTGCTCTCAGCAAAATGGGTGCAGAGGGGAGGGCTGTTCGCCTGGTCGTGGCAGAGATGAGGAGTCGGAAAGATAAAGAGACGCAATGGCTTAACTATGGCACCAGATGCAAGATTTGATACCTCCCCAGTTCCAGCCCAAATGGAGAAATGGGTAAGATGCACCTTCTATGATCTGGGGATCAGTGCAGACGTCTGCGGTCCAGCCCCGCAACTTGTCCTGCCTTTAAAAACGTGCGGTATCCCTTCGATGACAGTTTCTCCTAACAGCCAAGATGAAAGATACCACACGTTCATGATAAAGACACTTTTGAAATCACAGTGGCGTCCAGACACACACCAGCCTTTGCTGACTGCACACGTTCCTGCTAAAAGTCCCACACCAGCCTTTGTTGACTGCACACATTCCTGCTAAAACTCCCACACCAGCCTTTGCTGACTGCACGTGTTCCTGCTAAAAGTCCCACACCAGCCTTTTTGGCTGCACACGTTCCTGCTAAAAGTCCCACACCAGCCTTTGCTGACTGCACGCGTTCCT